TCCGTGTCCTCTTCTTTCGGAATGGACCGTTGCACATTTGTCTATCTCGAATTTCATACCGATAGCATGCGTGCACTCTTCCACCACTCCCTTTCTCCAGAGGCATACAGTTTATGATGATCCATATAAAATAAATGGGTGACCTTATGCCTTCGGTTTCTATTGGTGCCACAGTTATACCATCGACCATTTCTAAGCGCAATGGATATTGTCAACAGTGATATGCAGAGGGACTGAGGGAATCGCCCTGAAATACACCCCTTCTGGAATTGACCTGCTTTGTTTGGACTCTAGCCTGACCAGATGTTATGGAGAAGCTAGTTTGCTAGAGTCAGTTCTTCAAGGAAATTGGAATTGGCTGCGGTGGTAGTGGGTCCGACTCACGATATGAAGGTCGTGTGTTCGATTCCCGCCTCGACCAGATATTTTTCTAGAGAGAATTTATCTGGTTGAAGCTGGAATGATTCTGCAACCGTGTTAGGAATCACACGTTAAAAGGTAAGACCTCGTTAGTCTTTAGCTTGCACAAGTTTCTCAACTTCTGAGAGTTGTCGTTCGTACGGGGGCGGCAGCTGATTAACGGAAAAACAGATTTTAAACAGACAGACAGACAGATCTTATCTTTTTGCCGGTACCGCAAGGCATCTAAGAAAATGCAAGATGAACTCATGCGAAGTTGTTTCGAATGCCTTGTGGTAATCAACCCAGGCCATAGAGAGGTTACGCTTGAACTGTTTCGAGTCCTGCGAGTCATTATTTTTATTATAAGCTTCACTGGTACTTGTTAGCCACTGGAGAATGTCATATCGCAAACCAAACACATTACTTTTAGTCCTAGTATAATCTGCATGTCACATAGATTGCACCAGTTTTTAAAAAAAAGGTATTAGATTGTTGGCAAGAGTGATCCTTGTACAACATCAATATTGAAATGTAAACTCAAATCTTTGACGCTGTTATTTTTCAATTATTAAAAGCTTTTATTTAACTTGACTTGTATGTATGTTAACAAATCTTACAAGTTTAATTTGACCCACTTCCCGATATCTAATTGACCTGAAATTTTGCATGCTGGTCCAGAACCGATGACGATGCATGTTACTCATAAACGTGACCTGATGCTGCTGCCAGGTTCGGCTCCGTACGAGAGATCTCCTCAGCGGTAAATAGCAGGGACACGAAATTTTGTATACGCATTCGTTTATGATAGGCAGTTGGTGGGCCCACCATGTAATAGATGCCACATCCAGGGTTGGTTTCAATAAAAAAAATATATTTCTAGAAAACAAATTAAATCAAGCTTTTACCTTTAAATACCTACTTCCTGTCTCTAAAAAGAAGACAATAAATGGGGTAGTAGGTTGTAAGAACCCATATTTATTTGCATTGTAATAAAATAATAGCACAAGATAGTCTAATAGAGTGTACTAGAAAAAAATGACAATATAGATTTAAATAATATCATACCATCGTATATAAGCAAGACTGGGGGGTTGCCTAAAGAGTTGGACATATTTGTGGGGGCCAAGGTGATGTTGCGATACAATGTTGATACGGCTAAGGGTCTAGTGACTGGTGCCATTGGTCATATATTAGAAATTGTATGGCTCTGTTTCCGGAGAGCCCAAATGTATGCCACGGACATTCCATCAGTCCATTTCGACTTCGGCAAAGATGGGATCCACGTTATTCAACCGAAATCTGTGCAATTTCTAGCTAAATTAAGCCATGGTTCAGCTGAACGTAGAATGTTGCCAATTGTTTTATGCTGGGCTTGTACAGTTCACAAAATGCAGGGTAGTACGGTTGACCATACTGTTGTATACTTGGGTTCAAAGTTGTTCGCTGCCGGTCATGCGTACGTGGCTTTAAGTAGGGTCACATCAATAGAAGGCCTCCTGATAGAAGAATTAGACTGTTCGAAATTAACTGGGACTCGGCCATGTAATAATGATGCCATCAATGAAATGAATAGACTAAGAAATATATCAAGCTAATTCTTCTATAAGGTATGCCGGAGGACTAGGTACCTACCTACCTGTTGAAGGACTCTCCGTTTTATAGATGAACTTTCGTATTGATCGATAACTATCGATTGAAACTAAAAAATATAAAATAAAATAATGATAAAAAAACTTTTCCAACAAGTTTTTATTTATGTGCCCTAAAAAGTAAAAACAAAATTTTAAATTACATCAACCACATTCATTTATGACTTTACAGAATTGAAATTATAATAAAAGCTTGTCGAGATGCCTAGAAAAAATATCTACATATTCATTCAGTCAGATGAAATTTAAATAAAATTTTTAATTTCAAACCCGATAAATCCTATGTGTGCAAGGAAGTAATTCAAGGTTGAAGTTCTACATTTTAAGGATTCACGGCACTTTTATTTAATTACAAACATTATGAATTGCTTACAAGTTTAGTAGATGCCTACCCAATTACAAAATTTCATTTACAAATTGAAATTATTGCGACAAGCTTTTATCATAATTTCAATTCTGTAAAGTCATAAATGAATGTGGTTAATGTGATTTAAAATTTTATTTTGAACTTTTTAGGACATTTAAATAAAAGCTTGTTTTGAAAGTTTTTTTATCATTATTTTATTATTGTCTTGCTCTGCGATACATTATGCAGAGTATAAAAATTGAAGGTTGTGGTTTTGTACCGGTGGGACGAAAACCGGTTGGGTTGGCGTGGGTGGTTTGAACCAGTGGTTCAAATCGCGAGGCCGGACGATCGATTTTCACTTCCTATTGTACAAACCGTGCTAGGTATCGCACATTAAATGGCAAGCCCTCGTTAATCCTCAGCTCGCACAAGTTTGGACGTCTGAGAATTTGTCGTTCGCAGGTGGGAGACAGCTGGATAATGGTTTTACATGTTGGAAAAGTGTTCTGAGAACAATTTGTATTTTTGTTCAATTTTTTTTCGAAAAGAGAATTTAAAGTGTAACGATCGAACTATCACCAACTGTCTCCAGGCTAAATCGAGATACCAAAGCTTCAGATTTGTCGCCCCAATAATAAAGGTTTCTCAAAAACCCGACGTCACGAAAATCCCCGAAATCACAACTTTTCATCGAACCCAATTAAAACGCTCCCGTTTTTCGCGATTCGTAATTCAAAGAGTCCGCCTTATCCTCGGCGAACGTGAAAGAATTTTTCTCTTATCACGGCCGTCACTCGAAAAAACGTTTCTTTTTCAGTCCTTTTAATTAAGGATCCAGTTGAACGGATTCAATATAGCGTCAACTCGAGTTTCCTATGAATGAAAGGAATGAGCGTTTCAGCCGGGTCTGGTTACACTTTTCCGGGGAAAATTTCCGTGAAACAGCTGATATCCCATTAACGTAATAAAACTCCGAGATGAAATATGACGGAATACATAATTAGAGGCTATTACTGAACCTCCGGGAGTGTTGGCGAAAACAAGAACTGTCGTCTAGTAAAATTGCCATGAGGGTCGTCGAATAGACCTATCTAGTAAAATTTTCCAAATCCAATGAACATCTACACCTTTTATTCATTTCGAGGCAGACAGTGACCCAAGCAGAGTTTTTGGACAGTGTTTAGTACATGGATTCATTTATTAACTTAGTTTTATAGGAATACTAGCGATCCATCCCGGCTCCGCACGGGTGCAATGCTGATACTAAATATTCATATAAACGCATGCGATTGCTGCTAATCATAAAGTGCCGCTGGCCCCCTACCGTCGCAACCGCCATGTCCCTGCTTTTTAAATCTGAAATATCTTCGAAAATAGTCATTCAAATTACATGCTGTAAAATGCCATATTGATCTATTTATTCATTTATTTATTTATATTTGTATTCAAACAGACCAAAGATCAAATTACATGGATAATGAATATAAAATAATATTCACATGTCAATAATTATAATCATAAAAGTAAGTTGTATACCTACTCGAAATCTTTGAGGTTGAATAGCAATGATGTATTTAGTTTATAAAAAATTGAAATTTTGCAATTTTGCCATGAATTTACGAAAATAATTGATAGGGATTTTGAGTAAAGATAAGAATTTGGGCAAATTTTTATTTTGATAGAAAGAAATTGAAGGTATCAGGGGAGATATTCATAAAATTGTGAATTATATTCATAAAATTGTTGATTGATAGGGATTTTAAGTGAAGATAAGAATTTGGGGAAATTTTTTCTTTGATAGAAAATAATCAAAAGTATCAGGGGAGACACTCAGAAAATTGTTAATTAATAAGGGTTTTAAGTAAAGATAAGAATTTGGAGAAATGTTTTCTTTGATAGAAAACAATTAAAAGTATCAGAGGAGATACTCATAAAATTGTAAATTGATAGGGATTTTAAGTAAAGATAAGAATTTGGGAAAATTTTCATTTTGATAGAAAAAAATTAAAGTATCAGGGAAGATACTCATAACATTGTTAATTAATAGGGATTTTAAGTAAAGATAAGAATTGGGGTAAATATTCATTTTGATAGAAAAAAAATAAAGTATCAGGGGAGACACTCATAAAATTTTTAATTAATAGGAATTTGAGGTGGAGATAAGAATTTGGGGAAATTTTTTCTTTGATAGAAAAAAAATAAAAATTTCAGGGGAGATACTAATAAAATTGTAAATTGATAGGGATTTTAAGTAAAGATAAGAATTTGGAAAAAAAATTATTTCGATAGAAAAAAATCAAAAGTATCAGGGGAGATTTCACAGAAATGGAGCCTTTTGTTGCTGCTACTTTTAGTTTACTGTTTTGATTTAAGGAGATACTCTCGTTACTGATAAGGTTTTTCATATCAAACGTAGAAGCTTTTTAGTTTCCACTAGTGATTGAGAGCAGTAACAACCTCTGTATCTTAATTTGGAATGAGGAAATAAAGAATAGTTCAATGACGAAGATATAAAATAACAGTAACGTTCAAAGAATGTCCATTATGAAAGTGAATTTTATAGGATATTACCCTTTGCATACACGTTATTTTATACTCACATGCTGCCAAGTCTTGTAGCTGTTGAAATTCTTGAGGAGATAATTTCTCCCATTGTAGAGCCATGTTCAGGAATTGAACACAAAGTTAATCTGCCATCATTACCAGAATCATCTGAAAAGATATAGGAAGTTCATTAATTTTTTCAATAAAACGTTACTGGTTTAATAACAATTAATGAATTCTAACGTATATTGAAAAGATAATTCGTATTCTCAATTTAACCGGATGGCCCTGTTAGTCGAAGCCCAAGATAAATGGAAAAGACGAAGGCAAGCAAGTATATTACTTGAATTAGGATCTGCCTTGAGATTGTATTTCAGAGAAGTGTTATTAGGAAACTTCTCCATGCGAAAAGAGCACGGCCTATTTCATGTATTCGCAACACTTTATTATGAGATTTTCTCTAAACAGTTTGCAGTTTACAAAAACAGTTCCTCTAAACCTGTTTTTCTCTACCTCATTAGTGCTTTATATGATATATCACTTTGAATCGTATGACCTTCTATCTAATTAACGACTAATAAATAATAATTAGTGCCGGTTTTAGCACTACCAGTGCCCTAGGCGAGATTTATACGGCACCCCATAACTGCAATTCAAACCCATATGAAAAAAGGAAAAAGATATAATGGAATTACCATTTATTAAAGGAAATAACCATTTATAAAAAAAAACTGATAAAATTTTACTTTTCTAGCCTTTCTGTGAGCGAACTCTTTCATTATTTTATCAAAATCGAAGTTTTCAGCAATTTCATTCTCGATTGAGAAAGTTGCCAAGTTTGTCAATCGGGATTGCGATATTGTCGATTGCAGCTAGGTTTTAATCAGCTTAAGCTTAGAAAAACTCCTCTCCCCACTAGCAACCGTTACAGGTGTAGTTAATAATATGCGCATTGCTATCCATACATTTGGATACAGTTTTTGTAAGTTGCGATCTTTGATAAAATTTAAAACAAAAACAGGGATAGTCGCATTCTGATCAGGCAAAAAAAATTTCAGACTTATGAGTTCATCACACAACATACACCCATCTATATTTCAATTTGAGATCACCACAGAGTTTGACAAGGTAAGGTTTTATATTGTACAAAAAAGACGAATTTAACTGTTCAAATCTTTCATTGACTGAAATTAATGTAGTGTCCAAAACACAGTTGAAAAATTCAATCTCAATTTTTTTCCGGAGAAGCTATAGGTCGGGGATTCCCGGTAAAATTAAATGCATGCAGTGCAGTGCTCCGATTTGAACACTACGTTCCATTCTAGTTTTGCCAACATAACGATTTTTTCGCTAAATTTAGGGAATTTACGAATAAGTAGACCTCGCTCAATGAGGGAGAGGAAATAAAGGGGCGCCTGTGGCGCCCCTTCATATCCGGCGCCCTGGACGGTCGCCCAACCGCGCCCTACCCTAACACCGCTACTGCTAATAATTCTACAAAAGTTTAGGTATGAACTGGTTGAAACTTGGAACATTACGAGGGTGTTCCCAGAAGTAGCCGTCCTGACCTAGAGATGGCGGTAGTTGTTTGAAAAATATCACTGTATTAGAAAGTTAGAAGACACTACGCTGTTTAGAATTTGTTTGGCAGCTATCAATAGCGCATGTTTTCCGTAAATATGTGAAAATTATGTAGTACAATACTTTTATTTGAAAGGCATCAGCCCAACCAATAAAAAAATCTGATCTGGATTCTACTCCAAGCGAGTCTGCTCCTTCGTTTACAACAGGAACATAGTGAGTAGCGGAGTTTGAACAAGGCCGTACGAGCTGCCAAGACGAACATTGCAGTGGTCGACCAAATGAGGTGACGACTCCAGAAACGGCGAAGAAAATCCACTAAGCGGTATTGAATGATCGTCGAATGAAAGTGCGCGAGCTAGCAGACTTAGTAGGCATTTCAAAAAGTGCGGTACATCGTATATTATCCGAAAATTTGTGCAAGACGGGTGCCGCGTTTGCTCACACTCGAGCAAAAAAAGTGTCGTGAAGATGTTTCAATTGAGTGTTTAGCGAAGTTTCACAGGAACAAAGCAGAATTAGACTCAAAAGGTAGAATCAGCTCCAAAAAAGGTGAAGACCGTTTCATCTGCAGGCAAGGCCAAAGCATCGGTTTTTTGGTATGCGCGTGGGATAATTTTCATTGACTATCTTAGTAGATGAACAAGGCCGGTTCTGGCTCACTTCGACGTCAACGTCGAATATTATGCGAACTTATTGCAACATTTGATTGAAGAAATCAAGCAAAAATGGTCGCAGTTGGCTAAGAAAAAAGTTTTGTTTCATCAAGACAATGTACCAGCTCACAAATCCATTATCGCAATGACCAAAATTTACGAATTAAAGTTTGAATTGTTACATCATGCACTCTATTTGCCAGATTTAGCCCCCTCGGATTGTTTTCGGTTCCTAAACTTTTAAAAATGGCTCAGTGGTCAAAGATTTCCCAACGATGAAGAGGTGATATCGGCACTTAATGGCTATTTATTATAAAAACGGTATCGAACTTATTGAAAGTCGCTGGGAAAAGTGTATACAGCTGCAAGGAGATCCAAAATTTTTGTGTTTTCCTTGTTGGTAATTACCACATTAGAAAACTGACTCAACGCAGAAAAGAATCCAATTCTATTTGGTCATTCAGTGAATTTTATTAATTTTTCAAATCTATTGATTTCCAAGTACTCCAAAAGATTGAGTTTCAAACCTTTTTTTCAAATGTAACACGTTATAGTCGAGAGTGAAATCATGCCCCTCTGCAAAAAGATGGTTCGCAAATGTCAACTCGGTCTTCACATTTAAGAAGCTAGTCCTATGTTCTTTCATTATTTGGGAAAAGTTCTTCCCTTTTGGCCAATATAGATTTTTAAGCAAGAACTGTTTGGTGAAAAACTCCACTACTTGATCTCGTTACGGATTTTCAGCAAGATTCACTCGATTTTTGTCGTTAGTCGCGATGCTACAAAAATCGCGACGTTTACAAATGAAATGAAAGTGTCACTTTTGTTCGAGCGTTTCTTGTGTCTATTCAGCTTCAAATAAAATTTATTCAAATAGATCAGTTGATGAGTTGACATTTTTCTACACAAACAACTGTATCTTGATAAAAATAAATATATGTATTGCATATTTGATTGATATAAGTGAAATATAAGTAAAAATACATCAAAGTTGTTGGGCTATTCGGTCACTGAATCATATAAGAATCATCAGGAGCGCTTACTGTATATACTGTAGGGGTGGATGTGACCCCTGCTAGGTATCGCACGTTGAAAGGTATGACCTCGTTATTACTTAGCTCGCAAAAGTTTCGACTCATCAGGGTTATCTTTCGTAAAGGAGTGTCATCTTATTAATGGAAAAACATCTGTGACAGAAATTGAAAATTCCGCGATTCAATAACTTCACATACATATATACCCTTCCCATCTCTGGTGTACTTGAAAATATTCCAGTTATTACCATTATTTCATTAGATAAGAGTGGCTAATTTGATTATCTAGGTACTATTGGGAGCCGTTTTATACATTATTGATCATTATACCCCAGCGAGAAATCCCAAGGGTCCTGATAAACGTTATTAAAATTGAGTTTATACAGCACGGGAAAGCTCATTTCGTTTCATTATTTATTATTGGGGCCAGGTTTTCGAAGTAACTCATCCAAGTCGATGGAAAAACTACTTTATTTTGATAAAACAGAGTGTAGGAACCGTTGAAGGATTTTTTCAAGATTCAAGGGAAATTAATCTTTCCACTGACATTGGGATAACCGCATAGGTCGAAACCACATATCTAATAGTACCCCGTTTTATAATTTTGAACATTTTTCAGTGATAAGTTTTTTCAAAATCGAGTAAAAATGATGTTGGTGACGTCACTTACATTTGATATCAGCTTGGCAACACTGTTGTTCTAACTATGCATGCGACATTGCCAACTTTTTTTTGAGGCCGATTTACGAAACAAATACTTTATATTTCAAAAATTTGGTGTTGAATCTGTTCACGGGCTGAACAGATACGATAATGGCGAATTATTACTCTTTCATATATACATATCTTTTATATCCTCCATTTTAACATAGTTTATACCTATGCACCATTTTTATTTTAAATTCATTCGGTATGTATTGCATTTTTTAAGTATTTACTACCCAAGCTTTCTCTACAAGATTAGGTCTTATGATGAAGCATTTTTTTTTCACCGTAGTGTGCTCTGGTCAGGCCCTATCCCCTGAAGCCCCGTTATGTCGATGGATATAGGCCGATACCGCATATGCTGGACATGCTGATAGCAAGTGCATTAGGGTCTCGAGCGCCTCGCGGCAGGCCCTGCACCTTGTGTCAGGAACCTCTATACCCATCACGCGACTGCGGTAGACTAAGGTGTTGAAGACACCATCCTGGCAAGCCATGATGAACCTTTCAGTTCTCGATTTCAGCCGATTCGACCTGAGAAAAGCGAACGTCAGGCGCTTTGTTAAGCCAAGGTCTCCAATGTTATTGAAGAAGACCCCATGCATTGGCTTATCCTTGTGTCTCCGCAGAAGTAAGGTGATCTTTGCGGCTTTTATCTGAGCTTTTTGCTGAACGGGTTCCAACTCGGTGACAGAGTTGTGTTCACCTCGTTCAGTGTCGAAAACTATACCGAGTTCATCAGCTGCTCGGGCAGCTGCCCTAAGGAGAAATGCTCCAATTCCTGCTCTCTCATGGTCACGGACCATGTCAAAAGTCCACGGCCTCCCTGTTGTCGGGGAAAGTACAACCGTGGAACGGACGATTGGTACAAACTCCTATAGAGATGCATCATTTTTCGGGTCTTTACGTCGAGTTGATACAGCTCCTCCCGAGTCCACTTCACTACTCCAAACGAGTAGAGTGAGATTGGAACGGCAAGCATATTTGTTGCAGCAACTTTGTTCTTCCCCGACAGTTCCGATGACCAGGTTTGTCGAAGTTTGTGCTGATACTTGCCGCGGAGAGAGTTTTTCACTGCTGTTACCTCGTGTGAGTGGCGTTGTTCCACCTCGAGGTAAGTATACGTCTCTCCGGCATCCAGCATATTATTATTATTTGTTTTTGAATTTCAAACCTTTCTTCTGGAAATTTA